AGGAGGAAAGATGAGGAATGAGAACGCTACGTGCTGGGTCGAGTCCTGGCAGAGTGAAAGCTTAAGTGAAATGGTTCCCCCGTGGGAGAGAGAGGGGGAGAGGAATGGAGTGGGACTCTTTGCCAGTGTTCTGAGAAGAAAAGGAAGACGTAAGAGATGAGGCGACTTTGAAAGAAAAAGTGAAGGACACAGAGGAAAGAGAGATGATGGTGAGAAAGGGTTATTCCTGGTTAAAGAGGAGGAAAAGATGGCAGATGGCATCAATACCAGTGTAGTACTCGCTTAGCCTGCACTGATGGACTTGTCGTCCTGAAGGCCTGAATGATTTATTAAAGTGAGGAGTGGCAGAGAAGAGGGCAGCCAGGCAAGCTCTGATTAACTAGGGGAACGAGGGAGGACAAGCACTCCTCTATTATTCATTACTCCACAGGAGCGCAGAGCGGGAGCAGGTCTAGAATAACCGAAGAGGGAAAGAAAGAAAGAAACAGAGCTGAAATTCTTTTGCCAACTGATTCCCCTTCTTTTTTCCCCATGTATTTGTATTGTGTTTGTTTCAGGTTCTTTATGTGTGTCCTTGATGCAGGGCAGACCGGAGCTGTGTGTTTCTGCAGGGCCACAGATCTGTCTGCCCACCTCAGTGTCTGAGTAAGAGTGGAGCATGCATTCACACACACATGAACACACATGAACACACAAACACACATGCGGGGTCTCCCTCCCAGGGCTGTCATGTACAATAATCACATATTTTGAGACTTCAGTCCAATTCTGCTCTGCACTGTTGGAAAACAGACATGGCATGATCTGTCACCCAGAACACACACACACACACACACACACACACACACACACACACACACACACACACACACACAGAGTTGTTTCCCTTTTTCGCAGGACACTGCATTCATTGTGGACAGCCGAACCAAACCCATCCATCCATTCAATATCAGTATAGTTTATTCTATAGATGGACGCTGGAACCAAACCCAGCTGACATTGGGCGAGAGGTGGGGTACACCATCAATTTCAATCTCATATTGATAAAATGATAATGTTTGTTTATGTAGTTAATATCTTTTAATCGTATGCTTAATTCTATTCCATAATGAACACCATCATCTGTTACCTTGTTCCAATCTTGCAAGCCTGTATCCTGCCAGTAGGTGAATGTCTCTGGCCGTCAACCGGCTTATAAATAATACTTAAATAAGACAATATCTAGACCTAATCAGGTTGCATATCATTTCATTTTTTTTTCTTTTTCTCTACTTAACAGAAGGTCAAATATAAATCTGTTTCCCAACACCTATGGGTGTTTGAATGTATCATCCCCTAAGCGTGACCATAACCAGGACCAATTCATGCCTAACTGTAACCTTAACCTATCTACAATTCACATCTGACCCCTGACCGTACCCAGGACCTCTGAAGTGAGGTTTAGCCTCATCAGGACCAGGCTTTGGTCCCAATGAGGTCTACTGGTCCTCACAAGGTCAGTGTTAGGAAAAGGTTCTGCAAGGGTAAGAAACACAAGTACACACACACACGCACACACAGACAAGTTTGTTGTCTCTAAATAATAAAGCGCTGCTCTTACTGAGATCGCATTATCAGATGCTTTCCTGCTGATGGTCTGACAGAACCAATCTCCTTAGAAGTCTAAACCAGAGGGGCGTCTGTTCAATACTTAAAAGCCAAAAACATACAACATTGATGACCTGTGGGTCGTCTGGTTGCCATCTTAAGACAGAGGCATCATGAACCCCAGTCATGTCTGCAGCCGTTTCTGCTTGCACGGATACGAGCGTGTCTCCAGTTTTATTTACCTCAACTCTGTGTTCGTAAACAAAATATATGAAATGAATCCCTCCTTATACGTTTTTTCTTTTACTCTTGATCACCGTCTGAACAGATCTGAGAATCATAACAGGTCCACTTGCCGTCAGACAGGGGCATAACGGACTAGTTTATAGATCATCCTTGTATTCCTGTGGCAGGTTTCTCACCAAGAAGAAAACAGTGTGGTGCACTCAGAGAGGTTTTCCATTCCCTCTATCATGCTCTTTATTTCTCTTCATTCCATCATCTCTGTGCACCTGTTTCTGTGTAAAGCCTCATGCTCTACTTCATGGAAGTAAAGCCCATCTGCTCTAAGTGCTCTTATGTGCTTATTTGAGAGCAGGAGTTGAGGCCCGGCCTGTCAGACCAGCACCGGCTCTGACAATGACCAGCATGTCTGAAGTCACGGCCTGCATGTGTGTAGTTGGGGTGGGGGCAGTGAGGAGAATGTGAATGAGATAGAAATAAAATAAAAAAAAGACTCCCCCGCCACCCTGAACCAGCTGCAGAGCGCATCAATAAGAGTTCATTTTGCTCCATCGTGGTTATAATGGCGTTTCAATGAGGCATCAAATGAGTTCTGCTTGAACAGAACCACTGTTCAGCAAAAAACTCTCCACTGCTGCAGAGACAGTTCGTTCTCCAGGGTCAAAGAGCAACGCTGAGAGAGAAAGACCTCGAGCATGACTGAGCCATCGTGGCGCGATGAAAATGTGTATTTGTGGCCACAGCAAGTCCAAGAGTCAGCGATCAGCAAAAACAGAAATCCGGCTCACACAGAATAATGAATTATAAACCAATAGATTTGTCATACCTATCGCAAGGTTTCATTTTCTTTTTCATACACATGTAGTCATCAGATCTGCACTGTGTTAAATTGTACAACACACAAAGACTGTAAATAAAGATGGATGTCCCTGCTATCCAGAAGTCATCCATCAATTCAACTTGTTTTTAAATAATCAAATAACTGACTAAAACCAAATTTATCAGAAACATACATCACTGTGATAAGAACTACCTAAATGACAAAAAAACATCTTTGACATGTACTTAGATTTTTGTTTAGTGCATGTCCCTTCTGGTAACATAGAGGAGGCAGGATTTATAACTTATACTACAGACAGCCACCAGGGGGCAGTGGCAGCGCTTTGGCTTCCGTTTTTTGGGTGCTGTCGTCCATCTTTATCCTGAAGTGAGTGATTATACTGTTTGGGACAATGAGTGTTTATGCAGCCAAAAACTCAAAAACAATGGAAGTTGTTGGAAATTATCTCAAATACTTTTTGACTCATGACCCTTTAAGCTGGACCAATATTTTTCTCAAGGCACAGTTATTGCTCATTACATTTTCAACCAATGTTTGAGCTGTCTGGTTCGTTACAAATGTCAGATGTGTATTTATGATACAGAATGCTTGGTTACATTAAAAAATGCAATTTGCATTACAAAATACTACTTACTACATATTATGTAGTAATATTGCTATAGTAATTACAGTAAGATATGTAGTAGGATATATTCTTACTACATGTCAAATAGCTGCTGTTTTTCACTATAATTTTAGAAATAAACGACTTAATTGATATAATAGACATAATGACTGTAATTATTATAACTATTCTAAGTGTTATTGCTCTAATGATAAAATGATTCAACTTCATCAAGTATATCAAGTTTCCTTTCACATCGTTTCAGTTATTAGAGGTTTAAAGATGGTCAGAGGTCAAAATAACCTGTCTATCCATTATCTACACAGCTGATCTCTTAAACGTTGCAGGGGAGCCAATCTCAGATGAAATGGTGGGGAAGCAGGTTACATCCAGGACAGGTCACCAGTGTATAACAGGATCGACAAAGATAAACAACCATCAACGCTCACATTCACACCTACAGTTTTTACAGTTTCCAATTAACCCAACCCCAATATGCATGTGTTTGGATTGTGGGATCATGCAGGAACACGTAAACTCCACACAGAAAGGCCCCAGAACCTAACCACTGTACCACTGTGCCGCCCAGGAACATAATCTGTAAAGCACAAATATGTTTTTCTCCCCTAATCTCTTTTATCCTTTTATTAATCTTGTGACCCCCCCACAGATTTATCTCTGACCCCCATGTTGGAATGGTTCAAATGACTGTGACTCATCTTTTTCCTTTTCCTCATCTGAAACCACAGGGTTACTTTACAGCAAAAAGGAACAAGCTCATGATAGGTTTCCAAAAAAAAGAAGCATCTTCAATATGATGAAGTGACTCATCTCATTCATCCGAGAAACCTGGTGAATGACACCACAGTCACAATGCACACCTCCTCGGCTGAGTTGTTGACTTGGATTAAGAAATATATAATGCTTTATGAATAAAGAAGAGACCCGACGTGGGTATTTCACCTTTTTTCCTCAGTTCAGGAGGAGAAGATCCATTTCAGCAGAACATCACATATGCCACCACAGGCCACTGGACAGTTCAGTCCACTTAACGCACCTGAATTATTCACCAGGAAATCTGCAGCAGCTACTCACCACACAGCGCTCACCTCAAGAGTGTGTGAGTAAACTGTGCATGTGTGTTTCATCATTTGTTATTTCACTCCACATAAAATCCCAAAAATTATAATAAAAAAACATCAAAGAGTATCAAACAGTTTCAAACTGCGTCAACGCTTATCTTCCTCTGGGACTTTGTTGAAGAACACAAGTGTTTTCTTAATATCAGGGGGTTAAAAATAGACAGCAGATCGTAATTTAAAAAAATATGAATCATGTGTGTGTATGTTATATTTTATTAATTAAGCTTATGCATAATAGTGAAGCTAATTGATTCATTAAGAATCACAGCAGGCAGCTCAGTGGAATAGAAGAGCAAAGGGAGAATAAAAATACCTTCAAGAAATAATTTAAAAAGACTTGACGTAACACAGAGGAAAGATACAAAACAGCTTCTGATAAATGTTTTACTGGGTATTAGTTTACAATCGCTGGTTGTGTTGTAAAATGTAAATTCTATGTTGGTGCTGGATTTATATTTGATTGTACAGTGTCATCTGCTGGTCAGTCAAGGACATTTCGCAGTTTAATCTCAAACACACAATCATATTGTCACTCAGTAAGTAAAGCTCATACAAGGCCCAACAGTCCTCTTATGAAACCACATTTAAATTCACTAGATTTTTATTTGAATCTCACAATTATAAATATCAGTTCCCTAAACATATCTGATTTACTCCCAGAGGATATGTTGAAAAACACCCCATCTCACAACATTACAGAAAGTGAGTAAAGAAAAGATCCTGCATATACCCATAAATCTAAATCAGCGACAACAGCTTCTTCCTTAGGTGATGCCCTGTGCTTTCATAAAATCGAATGAAAATCTAATGAGTAGTTTGTACATAATTCTGCTGCGGAAACAAAAACTTACAAACATTTTCAATGGGAGCACAATGCATGAAACCCATTTCAGTATTGAATTAGATTTGGTCACTGCATGCCTCTGGTGAGGGGTTAAAGGTCAAGTCCACGTGATAAGTGTAACACTGATCACTGATAACATATAAACTGTCACTCAGTAGCACAAAACTCTGCCAAGGCCCAACAGTTGCCTTTTTAACCACATTTAAATTCTTTACATCTGGAATATTACTTGGATGTGCACTAAATTGCCCGCACTCAGAGATTTTAGTCCCCTAAACGTGTCTGATTTGTTTTTCATCAATATCCATGATTATTCACTGAATCAGCATAAATGTAGAAAAAAAAGAAAGCGAAAAAAAATTAGGTGTCTCCACAAAATTTCATGGAAATCGGTTGAGTAGGTTTTGCATAATTCTGCTGACTAACAAAAACATGCAAACACGGAAACCAAAATGCATGAAACTCATGTATTTATTGTGTTTATTTGTAGATTTAGTTGCTGCAAGCCTCGTGTGAGGGGTTAAAGGTCAAGTGCACGTCAGTGTTTCACTGAACACTGATCAGAGAAAAACTGCCTCATCTAATACTCGTCCTCCCGCAGTGAATACAAAACATCCACTGAAAGGGTCAGTCTCATTCATCATCATTAGAAAACACAGTCTCTTTCAAACTAAATCCATTTATATTATAGGCAGCATAAAAATAAAACAGTGTAGTGTGAGAACTGAAGCAAAGAAGAAACAGACTAGATGCTGTGGTTGGAAAAAGCTGCGTCACACAATACTTCCAGAGGCCGTGGAGATGAACACTAATATTTATGAATCTACCAGCAAGAACAGAGACATGTGCAGAGAGGCTTTTCATCCATTCTGGAGGTAGAGAGGGTCGTCCACTAACTGCACTGTCTGCATCTCCAGTCTACATTCTGAAGTGTCCTAGGGCAAGATACTGAACCCCAACATTTCCTCTGACGTCTTTGTTGACCGTGTATGAATTACACACCAAAAAACTGCATTCTGATTCACTGTATGTATGTGTGTGTGAATGAATACAATATGAATACAGTCCATTTACCATTAACCATTGAGGGTCGCACGGGGGTGGAGCCAATCCCAGCTGACCCGTGACATGTCAGCACACATTCACTAACCTAAGATGCATGTGCCCGCACAGACACGGGGAGAACATGCACACGCAACACGGAAAGACTACTAAAGCGTACAACACAGCTGTGGCTCAGGAGGAAGAGAGGGACGGCCAATTATTGGAAGCTCGGTGGTTTGACTCCCAGCTCTTTCAGTCTGCATGACGAAGTATGAGAATGGTGTGTGAGTGACAGAGACAATACGCTGTGATCTAAATCAATCCAGTCCATTCACCCTTATTTGATGTAGCAGCTGAAAACTGCTCCAGCTGCCAGTAGGTTGATTTTGTTCCGACTGAAGCCACTCCTTCACGGGTCATGTTTGATGCCGCCTCACAGTCATTGTTTGCATTCTGATTAGTAACAAGCCGACGAATCACAACATGTTGACTTCTGACTGGAACAGCAGGAAATCTGTCCCTTTAGTGACAGACGGAACAGCACGACAGCAAGAAACAGCAGAACCAGCACAAGTGACATCAGCTATAAAGACGTATCCTCGTCAGGAAGGTCAACGTTAATACTGACGCTTCTCCTTCAACTCCCCTTGAGTGACAGATTGAAAACATTTCTTATTCCCAACAGCAGGACGGAGCCTTCTCTTAATCACACACACACACACACACACACAATCCTTTCAGACAACAGTGTGAAGCTGTAACACAGAGTCCCCTGCACTATAACGTGATTAGGGTGGACCATCAGGACGTCGCTCAGCACAGAGACTTTGGCCGCACCTTTGGAAAAAGCTGCAAAATAAGAGGAACCAAACCAAAAACATTACAATCGTGTTATTGAAATTATGAAATGCATTGTAAGGAAATCAGGATTTGAAGGTGCTGTTGTTTATTACTGATTTATGTCTCACCCCAAAGTAGTTGTATGGAACAAATCCCTCCCGGCCACACAGCGATGCCCACCACCAGCCCGGCCCCTCAGGTTTCTGCAGGATCGTAACCATGTCTCCGTCTCTGAAGCTCAGCTCATCAGCTGCCTGAGCCGGGTAGCTCCACAGAGCGTACAGCACCCCGCTGTTCTCCACCCCCATGGCCTCCTCCACACCTGAGATTACAAACACATGTATTTATATGTGTAAAACTGCAGAACAATGTGGGGCTGCGCCTGTTGGGTCAGTATTCTGGGTTGTGTGTTTGGAGGTGGGTAATTTTTGGTTAACCCAGCTGCTTGGATTAGCGGTTTGGTTAGTCATAGCAATGTATGTAGTATGTAGAGGTCTGCCCCCTCCTCCAAATTCCCATATCTACTCAGACGCTGTGTAGACGTTTGCTCTCTTCTGCATAATTCGAAGGCTAACATGTATAAAAAGTGCATTGATTATGCCGTGTGATTTAAATTAATACATCTTTTTATGTATTTTAGAAATCGCTACATTTAGTTTACTTACATTTTTGTCATTCATTATGATTGTTGTCTTGTTTCCTGTTTTATTTTGAAACCCACATCTGGTCTTGTTAGGGGTCACTTCACTCCTGGTCCTTAAGTAAGTAAGCACCAAAGTCTCATATGTTCTACAGTTTCTTTAAGAGACTATTAGGGATTAGGAATTTTAACAATAAATATTTTTTTAGCATCATCTGCATTATGTGAATGAGAAACTCATCTTAAAAAAGTGTAGAGGATGCAGCAACATTCAAATTATGATTCATTCTACTATCCATGATGTCATAGGGTGTTTTCTGCGTGTGTATCTGTGTGATGGTGCACGTATGAGTGTATTAGCCTCACCTTTCAGGAAGCTTTCGCACTCGTCAAACCCAACAGCATAAGGATCACACTTCTGGGAGGCGATAGCACCGTCGCTCTCCGTCATGGCCATGACCGCCGCTCCGTTCCTCACCAAAAACTCACACAGAGGACGATCGTTACAAGAAGCTGCACAGTGCAGTGGAGTCCTGTGGGTACAAACGTCCAGGGTCAAAAGTAAGGTTCTAAAACCTTCATCTTAACAAACCCTAAACAAAAGAACTGGTGTGGTCAAGATCCACAAAGGCACAGAGAAATAAAGTCTCCAGCACTCGCAGATAAGTATTTAACACTTTTAATGAATTAATGCACAGCAGCAGAAAGAAATTAGAGTTTTAATCAGAGTTTCTTTTGTACAAAACCTTCTGGAGACCAGGGCAGATGAGAGCATGAATGTGTGAAACAATGAGAAGATATTTACCATCCATGGCTGTCCGGTGCACTCACATTGGCTCCGAAGCGAACCAGGAAGTCCACCACATTATAGTGACCTCCACAGATTGCATTGTGCAGGGCAGTGATGCCTTCATCATTTGGCTGGCTGGGGTCATTCATCTACGGAGAACACATCATGCAGAGTAGAATCATCAGTGAAAGTAAAATGAATGACGGTACACCCTCAGATATTATGACACATCTTCTTCCATATCAGGTGACTGTGTTTTCTCCTAAAATGGTGATAAAAGCTGTTTCACCAAACAAAGATGAGTAAGAGTTGTGGTGAACAAAGGATTTCATGCTCCGTATTCATTCCCTGAAAAAATCTAAGTTAAATATAAATATATTAAATGCCTCGTAACATGCAAATTGACAACTGGTGCTCCTTGACCCAGGATCAAATGTGAGCAGTTTAAAATGTTTTTATGGAAGCGGCTGAACATTTAATGTGTTTGGAAGATGTTAAGTAAGTGATGAAGATGAATATAACAAACAATGTAATAAAATGCATCATTGTCTTTATATTACAAAATTATTTGAATAATTTTTACCCTTGTTGTCAGAGGTCTCAATTTTATTAGAAATTTTTTTGTATATACTTATTTACTACTACTGCAAGTGATACTATTGTAAAATACTTTTTTGTTTAACTTTTTTAGGTGTACTATCACTGTGATTAGTAGTCGTAGTGTATTAGTGGTAGTAACTACAGTGAAGTAGTAGTAGTAATAGTAGTTGGGAAAGTAACAGTACACACACACACACACACACAAACACACACACACACATACACACACCTCCTGCACTGCTCTCTGCACCGTTTCCAGTTCTCCGACCAGAGCTCCATCCAGCAGCAGGACCAGCGGACTGAGCCGAGCTCGATGGCCAATCTTTTTACGCTCCCGACTGGAACGTCGCAAAATGGAATGGTAGCTCTGAAGGGACAAAAAAGGAAGCTTAACTAACATTTAACCATTAATTAACAACCATGCACATTTTAATAATGATAGGGTAAGTAATAACAGTACTGACAAAAAAATCAAGTGTTATATATAAGTCCCATTATTTAATCTTTTCCTTCTTTACATTTTCTGCATGGTGTTATTGTTCATCAGTGCCTGTGAACACATTTCTTACTCTGAAGTCATGAGGAATCACAGTGGATGTCTGAGGAAAATGTGCAGGAGGTGTAGCGCCTTCCTCTTCTTCTGAGGAGCTGCTGGTCCCGCTGCCCTGCTCCCCCCTCTGGCGCTGTTTCTTCTTGCGAAACAGTTTGTCGATGAGGTTTTTGTATTGGTTCGGCTGGTAATGCGAAGCCCTCATCTGGGGCTGCGACTGGTCCACGGAGCCCCGTCTCTTCAGCGCGCGGGGGATTTCTGCCCGAATACGGAGAACCATCTCCAGGTCAGGCATCACCTGGATTTGGGCCTCATGGGCCACCACTGGCTGCAGCCTGGTGGGGCTCAGGGGCCGCGGGGCCGGCACCACGCCCTGCTCAACCCCTGGCATGCTGGCATTCTCCTGGATCGCAGGCATGTGATGAATGTACTCCAGCTTCTCTAACTCTGCGTCTATATCACCAGGGTTCAGCACTGCACACACGAACAACACACAACATTTGTATCGCAAAGTTATCTGAACAAAGATCCTGTGAGCTGTGTGTGTCCAGGTGTGTTTTACCATCGCTGTATATGGCCGGTTGTCTCAGCTGAGCTGGTGGTTGAGGCACAGGTTGTCGGAAGAACTCCCTCGGGAAGGGTGGAGCTGGTTGGTAAGGTGTCATGTCCACTTCTCCTCCGACAACCCTGGGGGGTGGGGATGACATCCCTCCCCAGTGGGGGTTCTGGAGACGCATGATGACGGAGAGAGGGATGGGTTTGCGCTCTCGGGTCTCTGTGTTTGTCGGGGGTATAGAGATACGGGAGATGATGGGCTGAGAGAAGTAAGGGGAGTGGACAGGGGACAACACATCTGGAGGTACTGATATACGGGTGTTACGGGGAAGAGAATTCTGGGAAAACTGGTGTGACTGAGAACGTGGATCCTGGAAGAGAAAAAAAAAGAGGGATTAATTCTTGCTTTTTCTCATTTCACTGAATCAGATGTATTGTAAAGGGGTCTGTTATAGTTAGTGTAGTTAGTGCTCTATTGGTACATGTTTATGTTAGAGGTGACAGATTTATTGTCAGCCCTTTTTATTAACAATTAGGCAACTATTTGTCCGTTTCTAGCAGGCAAATACTTAGGCACCTGACTTTAATCAGTTGGAAAGAAACAGCGTTCCAAAGGGATAATGATGTGGTCTGGCTGGATGTGAAAGTTGACATGTCTCTTTCTCTGGTAACACCACCCACCTTTTTGAGGCTTGGAGCTGGAGGAGGGCCATCGAGGTTGGACTCTCTCCAGCTGCTGTTTGGCACAGACGGCCGCAGCCACTCTGTCTCTGCAACAGGAAAGTGTAAAACAGGAAAGTGTTGACTTATAAAACAGAGACCACACATAGAGGTACAGTTCAAATGTTGCCCAGAACTAATTTCACAACCTCACATGCAAAATAAAAGCAGAAAAGTAGAAAAGTAGAAAATCAACCAACTGTCATAGGTGTGGTGGGGTTTTCTCTCATAGGACTTGTCCAGATCTGTCTCGTTCCACTTGCTGGGACTCTTCTGTCGCTGCACTCCCTCCTCTGAGAGATCGAGAGAGAGAGAGAGAGAGAGAGAGAGAGAGAGAGAGAGCGAGAGATAGAGAGAGAGAGCGAGAGAGTGAGAGAGAGAGAGAGAGAGTGAGACAGAGAGACATAGAAAGAAAATAAATACAAAATAAACATAAGAGCAGAGTTAGAGCAAGGTCAGCGTTGTTTTATTAGACATTTTGTTTGTAGAGCTGAAGAATCTCTGAAAGAGCACAGCGACCTTAAACTCAAAGAGTGATTAAATTCTTCCAGTCACGTTGGCCGGGTGACACAAACACTTTTCAGTGCCAGGTTGTGGCTCAACTGTTTAAAGAGCAGAATGTTTTTCTACGTGTAAAACAAACTAGCTGAATAACTACACTGTTACTGAGAACTACACCGTTACCGAGAACTTTAATTTTTGTTTTTGCCAAAGTCAAGTTACATCAAAAGTCTGCATAAAGAGCTGTGATTTATTTACATTATATAACAGGAGGATCATTTATGATCGCAGACCTCAGTCGTTACCTTGACATAACAATGAACTCTGAATATAATGACTTGATTAAATATTGTTGTAGGATTTAGTTGCCCCCTACAAATTATATCTTTATTTAATGCCTTCAAATAAATCAATACAATTTTAAAATCAATTCTAAAACAAACAGGGAGCCAACGTAAAAAACGAGAAAACAGATGTGATGTGATGGAGCCACGCTGGTGAATTCTGTAGCCAACCATTAGCTTGCTGTGTTTACTGTATACTGCAGCTACTTACCAGGTTGCCTATAGCCAAAATTTCGCGGCATCGTGCTGGACGCTGGACTGAAGGACAGAGGAGAGGGGCTTCTGTCCAGCCGAGGTGACCTGCGGCCCATCGAGCTGCTGTCGTAAGGGCTCAACAGCTTGGAGGAGGAGTGGAGTGAGCTGGAGAGTGATGACTGGTCTACAGGAGAGGCTGCGTGGCTCGGCGAGGGGCTCCTTTCGTAACTGATCGACCCTCGCGGACTCCTGTCGTAACGATTGGGGGAGTCACGCCTCGGGCTGTGAGGGGAATGTTTGGGGCTCTGTGGGCTGTACGAGTAGCTGTCAGAACGAGGGACTGACGAGCGGGCCTGCCTGTTGGATGAGACTGAACTGTTGGAGAAGACGGGGGAGGATGGTATGTTATTATTGCTGGAGATGACAGGATGGAAAGATGTTGAGCTCTGGGAATATTGTGGAGAGCTGGATCTGCCATTACTGCTGGTGATGGAGCTGTTGGACTGAGGCCTCTCTCTGGTGACTGTGATGGTGGCCTGCGGGGAAAATGTTATAAATCTGATCAGGAATGGACACATTGTTCTATTGGATAAAAAAACTGAGCACATATATTTTAACAAAAATTTAACATTAACACCTTATTTTGTCAGTATTCAACCATAACAGCTCCATATATTGGTCTTTGCCAAACCATCTCGATTGCCTCCAGGTGGCTGGCTGCACTACTGGTCCGAAACCTTTATGTTAGCAGAAGTGACATGGACCAAACTAAAAAATCAAAGTATATGTTCAATTCATTTTTCCAAAGGATTCTGTAATTCAAGGTAGTTCTAATCACACTGATTTTTGTTCAGGTGGCTCCATTCACAAATTGCTGCTGCACAGACTCTGGGGGCAATTGTGTGCCGGCTGTTTTGACTTAATTTCTGGATAGTGGGAGGAATTGGATCCGTGTCGTCCATGTTTATTTAAAATCTATAAATTAAAAGCCTTTGCACTATGGCAATGCGAATAAAAGGCACAAAATATCAAATGATTCAGATTTGAATTTCAAAACCCCTGACTCATCAGTATAAATTTTACTGAATAAAAAGAAAACAAAGATGGAATACCTGGGTACCGTATTGACAAAAAGAGGAGAGAAACTTCAGGACATATTTCAGGATGAGCGTCAGACAGTTTGACGAACTGTTGCAGCAGCTCGCACCAAGATCATGAGGAAGTTCTTGTTTGTTTGTAAACAGTCTAAGCTGAACACATCTAATTCATATTCAACGAGTCAAATGTTGCTTGATCCATGCTTCAAAATTTACATCCTTATAAAGACAAAAATGACTTAAGTCAAATATATTAAATAAATGGACAAATAAACTTTATATCAGGCTGGATAGAGGAGGAACTTGTTCTTCTTCTACTGCTATCAATGCTTCAAGATGACAGCTTGTCAACAACACACACTGTGGTCAGATGTGAAAAACTGGCCTTGGTCTGAAAAAAATAAAAGCTGTCACTGATGTGAAAGCTTGAATTGACTGAATACAGGTTTGAAAATGATAAAAAAAAAAAGAAAAACATGCACATTAATTTCATTCAAAAAAGCACATGTCTATTGTGCAAAGGCCTTAAAACTCACAGGCAAGTTTTTGGTGAATGCTTACAGAATAATGTTGGTTTTATTTTGATTGATGTAATGAGGTGTTTATATTTGACTAGAGGTAAACCTCAGGAACATATTATAGCTTTCAAGAGGGAATGATGAAAGAAACCCTCAAAAGTAAAACCCAGATGCAGGGGAGGCTGGAGGGTGAATACAAAGTACAGAGTACAGAGAAAAGTGTGTGTGTGTGTGTGTGTGTGTGTGTACCTGAGGGCCAGACGTTCTGTTGTTGTTGCTGGAGGAGGCCTCCTTCATCAGGGAGTTAAACTCTTGTGACAACTCGTCGGCCGTGGCCAGCGATGCATTCAGGTCATCGTTTATGGTCTGGACTGGATTCAAATCACAGGAGTAGCCCAGACAATTAGCGCAGGATATCTCTCCGGTGTGAGCAAACAGATGAGCCAAAAAAATCAAAGGGAAACTCACACAGCATACTGCTTCCAAAGCCTGCCTGGGAACTCATGGCTGCGAGTTGGCACTGCGCTGCTCCTGAAAAAGAAAAACCACCACAGCTTTTAGGGAGAAAAGACTTGCGCCACCTTCAACTCGCAATGTTTTTCGGGTCTGTGAGATGTATGGGCACCTGGCACAGACACGTCGAACCACTTGGCTCTGATTCCACTACAGCACAAAGATGTGATTGAGCAAGCTCTGCTCTCTTGTTTTCTCCCATGCACTCTGACACAGAGCCAGCAGCATCTGAACGCACAACCTGAACGCCCTTCATGTTTAAACAAGCCTCGGTTTCTTCATACTTAACTTTGGCATCACTCAAACAAACCCAATCCTTTGGGTCCGCAGACAACGACTGTTCAACTTGCTGACTCAATCTCATATAATCTGTGAAACCAGGTGTTCCAGTTAACATCATATATGACTGGTCTTGTTCAAAGCCAGTTCCAGACAGCCAGGTGAGATATGCAGATTCTCAAGTATTACACTCCAGACAACATGGCAGTTAATCCCAACTGGGTGCAAAGAGCTGCAATTCAACGCCTAATCACTTATTGTAAAATATCTGGACAATAAAAAGTTATAATTTACAATTTCTGCTCATCTGCACTCTCACTCTCTTTTGTGACAAGCCAAATATTGTGTGTTTCAAATGTGTTTCATTAAGCCTCAGAAAGTTAAATATACAGCAACTGTGGAGTCAGTTGAATTTCTCATTACACAAAAGAATCATCCATCACCTACACTGCTTCTCCATTGAGCTGGAGTCTCACAGGGCCGACACACAGAGACCAACAACCACTCACACACACACTATTTAGATTCTCTATTTAGAAGAAACCCAAATCTGTGGGAGGAAGAAAACCCAAGCAAACACAGAGAGAACATAAAGGCCCTGGGATTTGATCCGGGAACCGTCTTGCTGTGAGGCAACAGAGCAAACCACTGTGCTGCCCTCAAAAGAATCCCAAAATTACAATGCTGTAGAATCACAGATCTAAAGCAGGTGATATACTTCATAAATGTAATAGTGTGGACAACATCAACAATAAACCCATTAAAAAGGAAATGATACATTTTCAAATAAGCAGAAACAATGACAAAAAAACACAAAGATAAAAAGGAGAAATACAGAGTATTGAGTTGTTGCTGCTAGAGCAGCCGCAGGTTCTGTTCCTACCCCGTCCTTTCTCTCTCCCCATTTCCACCATGCACTGTCCTCTTAATGCTAAAAGGCCTCTTAGAATATTTGAAAAAAATAGATAAATGTGTATATGCTAAATAAATAAAGGAGAACCGAAAAATGGAATCTGCGATCTACATCTATAGAGTAGAAACAGAACTTAAATATGTCAAATATTGAGAAAATAAAAGCTTTGTA